TGAAGAGGGAGAGAGGGGCGTGGGGGTAGAGGGATATACCGAGAGAGTGCAGTTTGTAATATGTACAGGTCTGCTGTGTGAGAACTAGATGGGCTTCATGTTCCCTTCTGTTTTTCACTTGTGATCTTGCTCCTGTCCGTGTGAATCCGGCTGGTGCGCACAGGTACATGAAACTCGACGTCGTCGAGACGGAACGATAGAATGAAACATACACAGCAATCCTACTGGGTTTTCAGTTGGTATCGCTGGGAATGCGTCACTTCGCGTCTCGAAAAAGCAGTCACACGTGTCTTCGGTTTTGTTGTCTTCACCTCAAATCAGCGCTCACAACACTATGTAGTGCCGTTCACTCCTACCCGTGGTCACACAGAAGGGCCCCTCTGTACCCTCCCCTCCTCCGGTACGATGCCTTCGATTTTTAATGCGAGAAGAGTTCAGCACTCTCTTCCCTCCAGGAAACGTTGGATAGACTATTGCGAGCAGGTTTATTCATGAGCGTAACACCTTTGCTCGAGTTCCCGGTCGGGCGTCGGGTGAGGGAACAAAACAGTGGAAAAAATATTTTGGCGATAAACGTCAACGCAAGCACCGCAGACGACAGGTGGAGAAAATAGCAACTCCTGTTCCGCGTTCCCCGTCATAGGCATTCCGTGTTGGTGGCCCCGGCTGATGCGCCGCAACATGCACAGCATACAAGATAGAGGGCTGTGAATGGGATGATTGCGCGCACACGTTGGACTTACGCATCTTTTCGTTGGTCATCAGCCGGTTATCGCGTTCGATGCAAACTACATAGCTTAACAATCCAGGGCAGTAGTCCACTGCATGCATGTGGAAACAACCCGTCTTTGTATTCTGAATAAATTGGGAACAGACAGAACTTTGCTGCATGCGATGTCTGCCGACGACGTCTTGCTGGACTGGACTTCGTTCCCAGCCGTTCAATGAAAAACCACAACCGTGAGCCACCTCGTTTTTTCAAGAATATTTCGAACTTCGTTGTTGCCCAAGCCATATATTTGGACCTGCTCAAAAAGGTCGAGAGGAGGATCCATTCCGTCTGTCCCACGTTGAACCCATCCATCATCGAGGAGGTAAAGCAACGACCGAAGGTACCAACCACTGACGGCTCGCAACACCTGGGGTCCGCGCCGACCCTGGAAGAGACCCGGAGGGCAGCACGGGGGATGAAAACTGGTAAGCGCCTGGTTTTGATTCCTTGCCGGTAGAACTACTCAACATCGACGACGTAGACGACCCCATCGTGATCGAAGAGTTCCACGCCATCCTCGTCAAAGTGTGGAACAGGAGGGAGGTCCCGCAGGAATGAAAATATGCCACCATCAAGGTACTTTACAAGAAGGCGGACCGATCCAACTGTAACAAGTACAGGTTGATATCCCTTCTGTCGCATGCGGGCAAGGTGCTCTTAAAAGTCGTCGCAAACCGCCTCAGTGACTACTGCGAGAAACACCACATCTTGCCGGAAGAGTAGTGAGGCTTCCGACCTGGCAGGTCGACCGTCGACATGCTATTCGTCGTACAACGACCGCAGGAGCTGGCAAGGAGACGGAGTATCCCACTGTACATGTGCTTCGTCGACCTCCAGAAGGCCTATGATTCAGTCCACCGGGGACTACTATGGCAGGTACTGGCCCGAGCGGGGATCCCGGAGGAAATGATCGCGGTCATCCGCCAGTTCCACGATGACATGCAGGCGAGGGGACGCATGGACGATGGAGAGCTCTCTGATTGGTTCGAGGTCACCCAGGGACTGCAACAGGGATGTGTACTGTCCCCACTGCTGTTAAACATCTTATTCGCGGCATCGCTCGAGATAGTCCTGGGACGATACAGCGGAGACCAAATTTTCCTTAGGGGCCTGGTATACCTCGAGAAGGAGGGCAACGACACCGCTGGAACGAGTCCGGAAGGCGGTGTGGGGTATGCTGTACACCGACGGCGCTGGCTTCGTATCGAGATCGGCCGAAGGCCTGGCGAGGATGATGACCATTATCGTGTAAGTGTTTGGATCATTCGGATTGACAGTGTCGGAGAAGAAGACAGAGGCTCTCCTGATGAAAGTGCCGGAGAAGAAACCGAAGAAGGGAGCGCCGCCACCACCACCTCCACCACCTATGGCACCGCTGGTGATCGAAGCAGCGGGGCAGAAGTACGCCCAGACAGCGGAGTTCCGATATCCGGGTAGCCGGGTCAGAGAAGATGCTGAACTCACCCAGTAGATCAACCAACGGAGCAGAGCAGAGTGGGCTTGTCTCCGGAAGTATACCCGGGAGCTCTTCGACAGACCGACAGCACCGTGGGGACTAAAGATCCGGCTTGAAGGCGGAAGCGATGAAGGCTCTGCTGTATGGGTGCATGACGTGGGCCCCTCGCCGCAAGCGCTACGACATCCTGACGACTACCCACCACCGTCTTCTACTACCAGGTACGGGTTATCGGCTACCGCCGCACGCGCGGCCAATATCGGCAGCTCTCGTACGCCCAAGCCCTAAGAAAGGTCGGATGCCAAAGCGTGGAGGCTACTGTTCGACAAAGGCGACTATTGTTTGCTGGAGCAGTGGCCAGTCAATCGGACGGACGACTCCCGAAGCGACTGACGTTCGGAGATATCGTTTGGGGGAAGGACCCAGAAAGCGGGCGTCCGGAAAAGAACTGGGTGCTATGCTTGAAGGATGGCTTCGTAGAGTTCGGTGCCAATGCCGAATCCACGTTTGACGACCTCCGGATGTTCGGCATACCGCGCGGCTGCTGGCCGGTTGCAGCGAAGCTGGAGAGAGGGGTGCCGTGGTACAAAGGGGTGATGGAGGGAGCAGAGAAGTTAATGGTCAAATGGCACAAGGAGCAAGCGAAGCTAAGCATACTACGCGCGGAGGAACGGAACAAGAAAGACACCGGGCAGAAGACCAAAAGGACAGCAGAGCTGCAGTGGGGGAAGGGAACACGGGGGGGGAAACGTCGAAAGATGGGAGACACGACTGCAGCCGAAGAGAGCAGGACGGAGATGGCTGAACCGATAGAGATGTGTCCCGGGATGGTGATGAGGATGGAGACGATAGCAGGAATACCAGCGGGATGTATCCCCATTTTTTTTTCCGTCGTGTCGGTAACCCCCCCCCCCCCGGCTCGCAGTGCCCCCGAAGTGATGTTGTGTCGTCGGAAGTCGGTATGTATCTGTTTGGTGTCGCGTCAGAAGTGGCCTATACTTCGTTGTTATTGCGGTAGACTCGAGCGTTGGAGGGGACCTGTCTATCTGCCGTTGTTTCTTTCGTTGTCTTTCTTCTCTCTGGCTTCTTTCTTTTCTCTATTTCTTTTCGTTCTTTCTTTGCCTTTCGTTATTTCATCCCTCTGACCGGGGTCGTCGATCGTCTCTTTATCCCGATTATAATTTTCCTTACTGTTGATTTCTTTTCGGTTGGATAACAAATCGCGCCTTTGGACGAATTTTCTGATGTCCATTCTTAATTATTGATTTATGTATTTTTGAAAGGTGTACCCCCCCCCCCTTATGGGGGGCAGTTGGCTTGTGACCACGGAAGGCGACCGCGTCATTTGGACCAGTACGGACAATAGAAGGTACTGAGTGGAGACCGGAACGGTTTTTTTGTGTGAAGACAACAACAACAACAACAACAACGACAACGGCGCCGAGGAAGCGATATAACCTGCTTTTGATCCTGAAGACAGCAACCCCGGACTCGATAATCTCGTCACCCATCTGCTATCATCGAGTCTTGGGGCCGTCAACCAGATTTGCAGCGACGAAGTTACCTGTCGAAGTTCTGATAATAACGTGGTAGCACAGACGACCGCCCGTGAAAGGATGCAACGCAAGGTTGTGAAGATGTGTGTCACCGGACTCGCTGGACAGTCGGTAGAAAATGATGCCCCTATCCGAGGCGTTTCTCTGTCAAAACGTTGGACTGTCGGCGAGAATCGATATCGGCGTTTTGATGTGGAGCGTGTGCGACACCGGTCGTGTGGGGGGCACACAAACGAAACCTATGTTGGTAGCCGGCTGTAGAATTGGTTTTGAATATTGAAATCAGCTGGGCGTTGCTCGCACGCATGACGGGATATGGGAGGACGTCCTTTCGCCCCCCTCCCCCCTCGGGAGCGTCTGTTGCTCGATGAGCCGTGAGGTAGTTCCGGCTGCGCTGAGGTTCCATCTGCCGGGTGATGGTTGCTTCGGTCCCCGAGGGGGTCAGGCCATTCGTTGACACGTGCTTTCCTCTGTTGGTGTGTGCTACTCTATTTTTTCTGTTACAGAACACGTGCAAACGAGCAATAAAATTCACGTGCGGTCTCGGGTGCCGAGAACATTATTACTTCTATTAGTACTCATACTGGTACTCTTTGCAATCATTATGTACAACGACAAGCTTGCCAACCAATGCTCCTACAAGAGCCCATCCACAGGCTGAACACTAAAAACAGGGCGCAGGCTTCCAACCTCGTCTGCGAGAACGCATCCGTCTTTCATCTGCGTCTCTACCCAAACACATGCATGTTCGTGATGCGGGTACCCCTCCCCCCCGCGAGCGAGTCCGAGTGAGGGAGAAGTCCGTATGAGGAGAATAATCGCCTCTTTCTTCTCTTGCCGGTTTCCCCCGCGTCTAAAACGCTTCGTTACTCCTCGTCGGGCACGTTGTCGTCGGGCAGGCAGGACGACCAGAACTGCAACAGAAAACACACGCCACACAAGCGAGCACCACACAGCAAATACAAAGCCGTGAGGAGGGAGAAAACTAAACAAAAATAGAGCGTGGTACGCCGCAAGGACAGGAGTAACGGAGAATTACGCAGTGGGGACACATGCCGTGCGCGGAGGGCTGAGGAGAGCGGAGTCATGTTGTGTGGCTTGGCATCTCTCGTCGGCTACGGCCAGCAGGAACACTTTCTAAGCCCCTCCCCCCCCCCGCTACTCAACCGGGAAAGATAGACGCAGCACCGAACTCACCCTGTCGTGCTCTACGCAGGAAGCCCCAGGCCAGCAGCAGGTGGGCCCCTCCCAGTAGCCTACCTCGGTAGTTCCACCGCATTGGTCCCAATCTTCGGAACATCCCCCGGGGATGGGTCGGCACTGAAGTTTGGTGTATTTGGTGCAGGCAACGGCGGCGGTTAGGTGCGGTTGCGGGGAGAACAGTCCTCCGTTTAGGTAGTTGCACGCGGATAGGCAGTCCAGGGCCGGGGGTGGGGGGGCATCAATCCTAGGTTTACGTAGCATGCTGCACGCTGACAGGGAAGAGAGGCGAGGTGTCGGCGCAGAGAGGCGGTGTCGATATGGATGCTGTGGCTAGGCGGGGCTGCACTACAGTAGCTGCTCGGGCGCAGGACGGAGGAAAGGGTCGTCTCCGAAGGCCGTCAAGTGGAGGCCTCCTACCTCTACCGCAGTACGGCCTTCATTTACCTGCGAGTAGCAGGAGGCCATTTCCGTGCACTCGTACCCTTCACGGCAGCAGTCGCTTCCCTCGTAGTCCTCGCCACCGCACTGATCGTAAGGCCCGACCGGATCTAAGCAGTCGGCTAGCGGCTCGGTGGGTGCTGGGGTCGGGTTGGCCATCCCATCTGCGTGGGTTGTCAGGGGGGCCGGGGCGTGTCAAGCGACGCAGGTAAAAAGAACGTTGGTAGTTCCAAGGTATTGCCGACCTGACCTGTGTATTGTCTCGTCGTTCGGGCCACGAGAAGAAGATCTAGCTCGAGAGGGGCTGGAGAAAGGCAACCAGGGTAGCGGCTGGGGCGGTCATAAGACAAAACAAAGTGCAGTGCGGTACAGGCGTCTTCGAGCCCAATTGAACACACTTGTATAAGGTTCAGCAGCTTCGATCTCCGCATAAGATGATCCCTTGTCGGAAGCAACCCTGGACAAGCACTGCATGTGTATAACACGTCATGCAACTCACCGGGCGTGATGGCGAAGTCGGCGCACGCCCAGAACTCTTCCGGGTAGGACCCGTTCTCCCCGCAGAGGTAGCGGTCGAGCTCGATCCAGTCGTGCTTCTCCGGGGCGCACGCGCTAGGCCACGAGGCCGGCTCGAACTCCTCGTACCCGACGTGCTTGCACGAATTGCCGGTGTCTTGGACAAATCATCAACATGATTCGGGGGCGTACGAGGACGTGGGGGCGCGGCGCAACTCTTAGGGCTGTTGATCAGTGGCTGATCATGACCCTTTCCAAGAAAGGGGAATGATCGGGGGTTGAGGAGCCACCAGAGAGAGGACGCATGGCGATTACGGGGGCGGGTTGGTTTCCGAACATTCATCGGTGTGGCGGGCGGGGTGACGAAAAACGCGCGGCACGATGGCGAGGGAGCGCTTCTGTCTATGGCAAGCGCACGACACACGGCACGACAGCAGTCCAAAGGACCGTCCGCCCTGGTTGATCGCACCATTCGCAGATGGACCGAAGGAGGCCGCTACAACTTCACAAAACTCCCAACTGCACTCGTGCAGTATTTCCTTCTGCTTCATGATGACCCTTAACCTGCTTATACCGACAAAAGACGGTCAGACTCTACCGTGCCTAAATAGACCTAAACAACACGTAAAACAACCTCCCAGATCCACACACCACCCTGTACCACAAAAAAAGCAACCCCCAAAGACTTACAATAGTTCATCTGCAGGATGCAGCGGTCGCAGGTCAGGCCCTCCGGCAGCTGGTAACTGGCGTGGATCACGTACCCGTCCTGGGCACCCTCCGGCTTCGTCTGGTCGGTCTCACCCTCGCGGCACTTGGGGTCCACGTAGTAGCGGCCCGGGTAGTTGGGGTCGATGGGGCTGTTTTCGTCGTCCCCCTCGGCCCGGGTTAAGGGGTAGTTGTTGAAGCACTCCTGGTTGGCGATGCCGTCGGGGTCTTCCATTTCGTCGGCGTTGCAGATGAAGAATTCAACGTGCCCCTATTCTCGAACCGTGGAATATGGAGGTTCGAAGGGTTCATCGCCCGTGGCGTTGTCGTGGAAGCGGGCATGGGGGCATGGTTCATGCTCGGTTGTACGTTCCGAATTCAGAGGTATCTTCGTCGAGGATTGCGGGGGGAGGTAGGCGTCTAGATTTCGTCGGAAGGGTGGGAAAGATACGAGATGGTAGTAATGCCCTTTGGGAATATTGTGAAAACAGTTTCAATGAAATGAACACAGCAACGAATAGGGAAACGGGGGGTCAGCGGAAATGAACGCAAGAGGCCAAGAAACGACGGTCATGAAGACCAGTGAAAAGTGCAGGCAAAGACATCGTTGAATACCGCGAATGTGACAACGGCCGGTCGGAAGCGCTAATCAGTGAAGGATGCCGCCGGAAGTTCAGCTGTGACAACATCAGGGAGCAGGCAAACGCTGACGTCGTAAAACAACGGGAGGTCAAACGACTTTTTTCTCGAAGATCGTTGTACCGCACGTGTTGGCGAGTGAAACCCGCCGGGGGTTGTTTCTCGAAACCTTCCCCACGAGACAAATGACCGAGTCAGGACAGACGTCTAAAAGTGAATCCTTACCCAGTGGTAGGCGGTCATTCCGAGCTTGATCTCGAGCACTTGACCCTCTTGGTAAGTGTTGAGGATGGGCCAGTCGCCGTTTGGGGTGCTGTAGAAGTTGGCCCCCTCCTCCTCATTCTGCAGTACAACACCCGAAGATATATGATTAACTCGCAGGAAAGTCTACACGAATAAGAACTTGGTTGGCCATATCCCACATAGACGCAAGCGCAGTTAGGGATTCATTTTTCATTCTTCGACATCATCTAACCACGTGGGTTCACACATCCGAGACGGCGAACTTGATTGAAATCACGGAAGTCCTGGCGGAAGCGAGCAGTGGGAGCGGGTAGGGTCTCGCTACGAGTTGGACCCAACCATACGATAAGAGAAGTGAAGCAACAAGCAAACGCTGGTTGGTGTGTTGGTGTGTTGTACCATGGTTTCATAAGACATAACTAAAGATAGAAAGTAAACACGACGCGGACCTACTCCGTAGCGGCGGGAGCGGTCTGGGGCTGCGTCTAGCTGCGACATGCACTCAAACATTAGATAACAGAGGTGAAGAAATAAGGAAAAGACTTACTTGTTGGTGTGTTGTACCATGGTATCATAAAAAACAGAAAAAAGAGGCGGACCTGCTCCGGGTCGCCGCAGATGCCGTGGCGTTTGGCGATTTCGTCTTTCTCGAGGTAGTTCCCGTTCTCCGCCATCTCTCCCTTTTCGTACGCCCACCTGAGGGGCCACTCGCCGTCGCCGTACTCCGCGAGTACAGCGGGGTCGGTGTTGACCATCCCTCTCTCCTTGACGTACGTAGGCCCCCGGGCGTTGTAGCAGCTGGGACAGTACTCCATCCTCTCGAAGGGCCTGCATGTGTGCAGCGTCATCGCCATCACCAGAGCAACAGGGCGAACAAGGAGGACGACGGCACATGCACACAGACGCGTCATTTTCAAAGCAGACGACGACGACTACGGCTGACGCCTGCATGCATACACCTACCACACAAATCCCTCATAAAGTAACGCTACGGATTGTCCTTGTTCGAAAGGCTTGCCCGTTAGACCACTCAGTCCGTAAGCGCTGTGACTGAGTAGTCTAGTCTATGGGTCAAGCCTTTCTAGCAGTCCCCAAAATTGGTACTGGCTCCAACTGCTGCTCGCAAGAGCTGGTGGACTACAGTAGTCGGAAACTTCCGACGGTGCCCTACAAGTAAGTACATGTACAAAGAAAGTCAATACTTCCACGTCTGCTACGACCACGGAATCTTCAGCGCTTAGCGTTTATTGAGCTGTACATTTGGATCTAGATACAGCATTCATGTAAGAACATGCTTTGCGCTGAGAGAAAATCGGCCAGATCGGGAAGTTGGCAAGGAGAACAAATGCGATAGGTCTACCGGCGGATTGCGTATCTTTGAGCTGTGCGTGAGCGAAAGTATTCCCTCACGGGTTGTTGGACGGACGCTATCAACATACACGGCACCCGACGGCCGAGGAAAATCACACGCCGGCTATTTTTTGTTTCTGCACGTCATCCCTGATCCAGGATCGTTCAACGCGGCTCCTGAAATCTAGCCAACTTGCTGCAAACCAACACCATACTTTGATTGTGGAATCACATGCACATGTATGTATTGTTGCAGCAGTACCGGGTCTGCTGCATTCTCCAAGCATCCGAACACAGACGTCGACGGGTCAACTTGACTTCGGCTGCTGGACTACTGTACACGCATGCAACATTGCGCTGCTGAAGAGCAGTTTGATTTGAAAATGAGCGCGTTTGTTCCAAAAGCTTTGTTCACAACTTCTGTTGACCGTGCGTCGAAACACCACTTACCACTCTTGGTACACGGGCGAGAGGTACACCTGACGGGTGGCGGGCTCGAATTGGTAGAGGTGGCCTCGAACTTGGCCCTGTTGTCGCGCGACAGTCAGCAAAGCAAGCACCGCCGCTTCGGTGCAACGATGACGAGACACCATCGTATTTTCTCTTCGTGCGCTGTTGAGGAGTTCTCCGACCACAACCCAGCAGTGCAACGCGTGTGTACTGCTGTAGTACCAACCGAATAGATCACAACAGCAGTAGCAGCGGTGTGCAGCGCCGGGATGCGCCGGGATGCGGGAAGAGGAGAAAGAGGACAAGTGCGAGTGCGAGAGGGAGAGAGAGAAGCAGAGAGGGATGAGAAAGAGAGAGGTGATGATGATCATGAAGATTGAGGCGAACGGAAACCTGTCTGCAGACCATCTTGCGGACCGTTGGAATTTTCCGAATACAAACCACCACAGCACACGGATCTTTCCTCGCGGAAGGCGGAACATTTTCCGCGTCACGGTGTGGCATGCCGAACCTCCGTCTTCCCTACCTCGTCCGTCCTTGCTGAGTTATCCATTTACCCCGCTGCGATTCCCTACACGGACGACTGAAGCCGTCTTTGGTACGGATGAATCAGTCCTTTTATTTTGTTTTCTTTCGAATTGCTTCATTATTTCTTCGGTTTCTAGGCTACGTGTTGGGGAGAGAGACGCACGAAACGCTCATCGTCTCTCCGGCCGCGTTAGCTGCAAAGGCCGGCGTCAACTCTTACAAATCCATCTCTCTCCCCACAAATACTAGCCGGGGGACTACGACTGCAAACGCAGGAGTCCCAAAACTGACCAAGTCCTCAAATGGTACACACCATTCTACAACACCTGACTAGATACCGAATATTCCCGAACTTATGCCCCCACCTTCGAAAGAAAAGGGATGGGAGGGCGGGATTTTCTAAACTGCCGCCGCTACTGCGTTAGGCGGCTGCTGCTGTCCTTCCGTTGCTTCACGCGCTCTGTAGCTGTCACACGTTACCCGACTTTGCTACAGCCCCTGCGTGGACTCGATCACGGAATGACACCCCCAACTATAGACTAATAATTCCAAACACCGTGACCCTGGGTTTCCGGTAGAAAATGAAGCCAAATTCTAATTCGACTGTTACAAAATAAACACCAGTTTATTCTATCTGCTTCGACGAACAAACCTTCCTTTTATTTTGTTTTCTTTCGAATTGCTTCATTATTTCTTCGGTTTCTAGGCTACGTGTTGGGGAGAGAGACGCACGAAACGCTCATCGTCTCTCCGGCCGCGTTAGCTGCAAAGGCCGGCGTCAACTCTTACAAATCCATCTCTCTCCCCACAAATACTAGCCGGGGGACTACGACTGCAAACGCAGGAGTCCCAAAACTGACCAAGTCCTCAAATGGTACACACCATTCTACAACACCCACATCGAGGTCAGTTTCTGGACGACTACCGAATAAGTCAACTATCCGTTCCCCCAGACGGTCCCCTCCCCCGGCTGTCTCGATACGATCCTACTGCCGTCTGTAAGTTTCCGTGACACTCGCCGCGAATCCTCTACATTGTTTCGCGCGTACGGCTTGTATGCATCCGACCTCCACTTCCCTTCTCTCTGAATCACTCGTTCTGCGATGTCTCCGCCCGATGCAAGAAGCCGTCGCGCCTCCAATTCGCAACGAGTGCAACGCGTACTCCTGGGGGTTACGCCCCGACCTCGCTACCACTTCTCTGAGTGCACGGAGGGCAGCAGTATACCTCACTACTCTCACTGCTCTTCCACTACGGTACGAAGCCAACGGTGCGGAGTCAGGGAACGTCGCATGACACGATAACAGCTCCACCACAAGAGCCACCGCGCCACCGCGTGCTCTCACACCTGACTGCGGTCCGGTGACTTCGTCTCGCGTACGAACCCGTATGTTTCCTTTCTGCTCTTGATCGGCCTTGTGCCCTCTAAACCTCATTTCGACACGGTCTGCTCTACGATAGTGACTAAAGACTAATTGCGTCTCGCCAGCAAACAATGCTACGTCCGCCCTCGTAAGACAGTGTGCCTCATGCACCCTGCCCGCATCATTCGCGAACACCTCATCAGACCGTGTGATAAAGAGATAGGACAAGCACAGACACAGCCACATCACTCTGCCCCCTTCCCCCCAGTTCTGGCTTGCGCTTTCCCCGTCCAGCAGCATACGCCAAGACACAGGCAGGCGCACACGGCGTACCGTCCCCACAGCCACGTGGTTCCTCGCAATCCCCCTTAGCGCACATTTCAACATCGGAGACGACAAGTCTAGCTCGACAGAAGCTTCCAGCCTATGAAAATGTTGTACAGCCGTGAGTTTTCCGGATATTGTACTCGCTAGATTACCCTCAGACTCGAAACACCAGGCTACGAAGTCTATCAACTCCCACACATGAAGGTCCCCGGCACGTTGCCCTAGGAACTTGGGCTTCTCCGTCAGCCTGCGAAACGTGCACCAAGAGTTGAAGCCTGACGTGTAAGTCCTTCTAGACGAAGACGCAACTGAGTGCTCGACGAGCTGCATGCCAAGACGTCGGTAACAAAGTCCCGTCCTGCCTGTCCCAGGTCCTGAACCTGCTGATAGCCCTGGAGCCAACCTCGTGTAGACCGGCGTGCTGCCGTTCGATTTAGCCGCAGGTGCGCTGCCATCCGAGGTAGGCCCCCCCGCTACGCGGGAGAGCCCGCACCCCTATTTGTCTTTCCCGTGGGTGAAGAAGCCAGCGGCCTTGGGTCTCGCGCCGCCCTCGCCAGCGGCGCGCGCCTCTCCTCCGCGCCCTCCCCCGTTGCCGTGGCCAACGCCGCGCGCGCCGGTTGCCGGAGTTTCGGACGCTCCGCGCCTAGCGTGGGAAGGGTTCTGGGCGTGGATGTGTGGGCAGTTACGATCATGGCAACCGGACGACGAGTTGAAGGCGAAGCAGTAACCACGAGCGTGTCGAGCGATGCCGCCACTTTCTCTGTCACCAGGACGCCTTTGCGAAGCAAGGATTGCCACTCCATCTGCGACAGTTTTGAAACTGCCGGGGGCCGCCCCAGGATGAGCCACGCTTTTACCCGGCGGAGGTCCCCCCACATCCGCGCTCTATCCTTTGCCGTAGCCTTAGCCGCCTCGGCGCTGGGTGTAGCGGGGGCCCGAGAGGCCGATGGTGGGGCGGTTGTGCCCACAAGTTGCACCCCCCCCCGGAAGGCCAGGTCCTGCTGCTTGGGTGGCGATCAGGTCGTCGATCGTTGCTTGAAGCTGCTGGCGATCACCGGCAGCCTCATCGCGCTTCCGCTGCAGCTCCTCCCTCAGGCCGTCCACCAGCCCGCGGAGAGAAGCGAGCTCAGTCTCATCAGCGGGGGGGTCGCCGCGGGTGCCTGTCCCTGGCGCTCGCGAGGAGGATACCGCTCGACGCCTCGCGGGAGTACGTGATCCGCTGCGCGTCGAGGGGCGAGCCGTCGAGCTCGCCACCGATCGCGCGGTAGACCTCTCGTGCGTGGTGTCGAAGGTGTCGCCGCCCGACCTCGCCCTGCTTGCCCAGCCGCTGCCCTGCCGCTCCGCGTGGAGGCCCGTGTCGGCATCTGGTCGCGGTTGGAGTCGTATAAGCAGCGGACCGGCGGCAGGCGGCGGGCGAGCGTCAGGGCGGCGTTGCGGGAACACTTCTTTTCCTCTTCATCGTGGGCGTAGTCGATCGCGCGCCTGGATCTGCAGTTAGAATGGTCTACAAATCCTATCTTCGGGCGAAACTATCTGACGTGGGTTTTCGTCGGGCCCAGAACGACGCGTTGTTATATCGCGAGCTCGCATTAGTTCATTCTCGACGCCTGTGGATTGAATGGAGTGATTATTGCTGCTGACGCTACGGTCACCGGACGTCGACCAATCCCGAATATTTCTCTCTTTGGAACACTAGCGATGGTTTCTCTTTTTTTTTTTTTATATATATATTTTCTTGGATTCGGTGAACCCCGGTTCGCCATCGGCACGGGTGCTTCCACTCATTGGCGCGTCCCGTGCTGATACGTGTTTTTTTTTTTTTTCGATGCGTTGGATACGGTGAACTCCACTTGCCAACAGCGCGGGTGCTTCCACTCATTGGCGCGTCCCTCGCTGAAACTGACAACACATATGCAGCACGGGTGCTTCCACTCATTGGCGCGACCCGCACTGATGATACTTGTACGCAGCGCGGGTGCTTCCACTCATTGGCGCGTCCCTTGCTGAAACTGACAACACATATGAGCACGGGTGCTTCCACTCATTGGCGCGTCCCGTACTGATACGTGTATGACTTCGTTTTCGATGCGTGGAGATCGGTTAATTCTACTCGCCCAACAGCACGGGTGCGCCCACTCATTGGCGCGTCCCGTACTGATACGTGTACGGCGTTTTTGTTCTTTCTTTTTGAGATCGGTTAACTCTACTCGCCAACAGCACTCATTGGCGCGTCCCTTGCTGAAACTGACAACACATATGCAGCACGGGTGCTTCCACTCATTGGCGCGTCCCGTACTGATACGTGTACGACTTCGTTTTCGATGCGTTGAATTCGGTTAACTCTACTCGCCAACAGCACGGGTGCGTCCACTCATTGGCGCGTCCCGTGCTAATACGTGTACGGCGTTTTGTTCTTTCTTTTTGAGATCGGTTAACTCTACTCGCCAACAGCACGAGTGCTTCCACTCGTTGGCGCGTCCCGTGCTGAGGCTGACAACACATATGCAGCACGGGTGCTTCCACTCATTGGCGCGTCCCGTACTGATGCATGATTTGTGGTATTTCCTACCGCTGCGTTGAATTCGGTTAACTCTACTCGCCAACAGCGCGGGTGCTTCCACTCATTGGCGCGTCCCGTGCTGATACATGTACGGCGTTTTGTTCTTTCTTTTTGAGATCGGTTAACTCTACTCGCCAACAGCACGAGTGCTTCCACTCATTGGCGCGTCCCGTGCTGAGGCTGACATCACATATGCAGCACGGGTGCTTCCACTCATTGGCGCGTCCCGTACTGATGCATGATTTGTGGTATTTTTCTACCGCTGCGTTGAATTCGGTTAACTCTACTCGCCAACAGCGCGGGTGCTTCCACTCATTGGCGCGTCCCGTGCTGATACATGTACGGCGTTTTGTTCTTTCTTTTTGAGATCGGTTAACTCTACTCACCAACCGCACGAGTGCTTCCACTCATTGGCGCGTCCCGTGCTGAGGCTGACATCACATATGCAGCACGGGTGCTTCCACTCATTGGCGCGTCCCGTACTGATGCATGATTTGTGGTATTTTTCTACCGCTGCGTTGAATTCGGTTAACTCTACTCGCCACCAGCGCGGGTGCTTCCACTCATTGGCGCATCCCGTGCTGATACATGTATGACTTCGTGTTTCGTTGCGTTGAGATCGGTTAACTTCCACTCGCCAACAGCACGGACGAGTGCTTCCACTAATTGGCGCGTCCCGTGCTGGTGCGTGTCCTTGTTTTTTTTTATTTTCATTGAGATCACTTCCGCATAGACAATCCTACGGCAGGTTGACGAGTTTTTGGCATGCATCAATTGCTGTCCGGGCGTTTTTGGTCGCTTAATCGTCGATGGACGTGACGTATTCTTATAGAAGGTTTGTGTCACGGCGGCAATAAATTTGACGTGATGCCCCTCGAGACCGTGATGCACTCACATGGACCGCTACCTGACGTTCCTCGCGAGTTCGAACCTCGCGTGTCACATCCACCTCCCCCCCCTATTTTTTTTTCTCATCTTCTTTTTCCTTATGCATACAGCACGTAGTTCGCTGTCTCGTTTTTTTTTTCTCGTCTTCATTGTTTTTCAGTCTTTTTCTTTGAGTCTTTCTCTCGCATGCATGTGTTTTTGCTTTTATCCGTTCCCGTGAATGCTGTTGAATGCACTTTCCGATTACGTATGCGGCCGCTTTGTATGCCATGGGACTTGTCGATACCATCAGTGGGGACTTGTCAATACCATCCGTGGAGACGATTGCTTACGTGAGTGGGCATATTATCGTCGATTCCTTCAGCTATATGCCCCTCTGTGCGCGGCACAGACAAGATTGTACCGGCAAGTAGTCCCTAGTAAGCCGGGGGAAACAGAAAACAAGGCACCTGCCTCATGTGCATAATCGTGACAGCATCATGCCCTACTGCCGCGGGTCGATTGGTTATGTCCGATGCCGCAGGGTTCCTCCACCCCGTGCAGTACAATGGCTGCTATCAACCGCGACAAGTCAGCGTGCGACCATACAACAGGCCCCGCTCTTTCTTTTTGCCGTTGAATTTTTTCTTCAGAGAGAGTACGTCTGGTTGGGACGAACCGCATTTTTTTTCTTCAGCGAGAGTACGTCTCGGTTGGGATGAACCGCATCCCATGTTTGGGAAGGGACCTATCTGAGCGGCGCGGCGAGCGAGACTGCGTTGGCTTGCCGCCGCTTATCTTACTGCACCCTCCCCCCTCGTGCTAAATGCACGCAGCGGTGAGGTCACAAGAGTAGCGGGACGCGAATAGGAACACGGCCGACACGATGGATGTTGGACACGAGTACACACCTTTATATGGAGAGTCGCGTGCTGGTCACTTCCCCAATGCTTGCGCCGTGTCCCGTCCCGCCCTTTTCTAAACTGCCGCCGCTACTGCGTTAGGCGGCTGCTGCTGTCCTTCCGTTGCTTCACGCGCTCTGTAGCTGTCACACGTTACCCGACTTTGCTACAGCCCCTGCGTGGACTCGATCACGGAATGACACCCCCAACTATAGACTAATAATTCCAAACACCGTGACCCTGGGTTTCCGGTAGAAAATGAAGCCAAATTCTAATTCGACTGTTACAAAATAAACACCAGTTTATTCTATCTGCTTCGACGAACAAACCTTCCTGTTTTTTCCAATGATGCATAGGCATGCTACAGAGGAAATTCAAATTTTGAATGGTGTTTTTGTAAGCTGCGAGTGCTCCTGTGAAGTTACTCCGTGCACTATTTAGATCTATGCACAGCGCCTCCATGTTGCAGGTAGATCTGGACGCTAGAAGAGTAGTCTGGCATCGTACCGCACTTCCTTGTGGTAACCATCAGCTACTATAACACTGCGCCGCTCATGAATCTCGTCACCTATCCCTACCCGTCGGGTATTCACAAGTACACATCAAGCACCACAACCTACGAGGGGTGTCTGGTGAGTGCGCGGGGTGTGGCGCGTGCGTCCCCTGCAAATGCTCCACAGGAATGACGCCATCAAATCTGACTCTAGGCTACTTGCTATTTATCTAGACTGAATACTGCTGCACACGCAGACTCTTCTCCTTCCCGCGTTGTTTTTACTAATATTTCTGTTCTGGTCGTTTTGCCTTCGTCGTTGTGGTTGTTGTTTTTGTCCAGGTCTCTGCCCCTACTACCTTCAAGTATCCATACCGGTCCACAACTGACGCTGATGGATGCCTTTCGTGGTCGCGGGCCAAGTACCACCCCACACACTTCGAACGCAAAGAAAAACAAACAAACAAGAAACATCGCTACAACAGCACTCACTGCTGTAGTTGGGTGTTAGCTTTCCTGGTTGACAGCAAGATACAAGTAGTCTATGTTTCGATGTCTCACCTTTGAATGGAAAAGAAGAAGTGCCCGAATAGTTTCATTCTGAGTGCAACAACAACCAACATCAACATGAAACGGTGTCTTCTGGAGAAATAGTCTACAGCTTGGTATCCTAAGCTGCTACGGTTCTCAGGAGACGTCCTGGTGGTGCTGTGTGTTCCCCAGAGCTCTCGGGCAGAACACAAGCATGAACCCGTGCATGATAGGGTTTCGCTGGAGGAAAGAACCGCCGCTGCAATCACGCAGGTTGCGCAATTCGTTTGAAACAGAGCCCGCGTCATCACCGGAGGAAAACAAAAAATCAAAGACTACTACAGAATAATATATAGTCTTGGAAAAAAACTCAACATTGCTACAGCATTGTTTTCATCAACTTCACAGACTCAGGTAGAAAAACCGAAGCAACAACGGAGGAACTAAACGTGACCACGTTCCTATTTAGATCACGGTTCGCCAGCCACTTCCATGCCTTCCGAAACCCAAAACTGCCAACCGCCTTCTTCGCCTTCAGCGGCAGGGGCAGCATGACCCGGCTGTGCCGTCCCCTCGACCGCTTCTTCTGCCCCCGACCCTGTCCGTCCCGCTCCTCCTCGCCCCACCATCCCTGCCTCCGGCGTCGCAGCCGATCGTTCTTCGGCCTCGGTTGTTCCGTCTTCCTCTCCGCCACCGCCACCGCCCCCACCATTATTGGCGGTTTTGCAGCTTTCTGATTCGGGGTTTCGAGGAGAGGCGGAGGCGGGTGGAGGAGGCGGAGGAGGCCCCCACGGCGGCAGGGATTGCCGGTCCAGGGCAAGGAACTGGCCGAAGAGGATGTTGGCCCGCTCCCGCCGGTAACCCGCCAGGACCCTGAGCGCGACGCCCGACGTGTCCCCGTTTTCGGGGTCGATGTTGATCATGGAGCACCTGGCTCGAAGGGGAGAAACGGGGCGGGAGAAACGGGGCGGGGTGAGGACATCAGATCAGAACAGACGGTATTCCATCCTCACCGTGGTGCGCGGCGTGTGAGACTTACCTCCACCTGAGGTCGGGAGTGCGCCCCCGTCGCACGGTGGGAGCAGCGAGCCAGTGCCCGCTCGCAGTTGCACCGCAGCCGTACGCACACAAAATCCTCGAAGACCTTTTGTGCTTGGACCTGGCGTTGTCCCAGCTGTGCTCTGTTTAGATTCCCTCCCGGCTGCGTCCCGTATAGTACTCAGCCTTTACACTCCAGACTCCGTGCACCTGTTCCGTGTAGAATTTCCCGGCTGGCTTGGTGTCTCAAGGGATTGCGACTGACGCGAAACGGAATCGTCTTCGATGACATTTCCGACGGCGCTGCCTGTAATATCTGGTGCCTGGTTGCTAGGAATATCTGGCGTGGCAACAGGTAGAGGGACCGAACGCGGCATGAATACCTGCTGCAGGGTCCGGTGACGCGAAGCCGCAAAGCTTCGCCGATGCGGACGCTCTTCCACCCATCCTCCTCGTGCGCCCGAACTCCTTCAACAACGAAGTTAGGCCTGAAATGGGCCGTTGTCACCTTTGTTAGAGGAGCCAACGGACGACGCAGGAGACCAACGGGGATCAGGAGGAACCGGGAAAGAGTTGCCGGGGCAGTGGTTTCGCTGTCTGAAAGAGCGAGCAACAGACTCAGACGTGAGTCTTCACCTGTTGCGTTTGTTGACAAGACTGTATTGCACGCGAAATGGCACTGTGATAGAAGCACGTCGAGAGTGGCCGGCGGTATGTTTTCGGGTGAAGGGCACATTTTCCCGCCACTCTCCTACGGTGACTGCTGGGGATCGATTTCACGATCCAATAATGAAATGTCGATCGCAATATATGTGCGTCTACAACCAAAGCGTGATTGGAATCGTTTTTCCTGTGTGCCATCAGTAAGGTGGGGGGTGTCACATCCTCAGGAGAGGCTGGTGCAATTCATATATTTTTTTCTAGTTTTCGTAAATGTGTCTGAGTCAACCCAAACCGATCCCAGCAGCAGTCAGTATCTCGACCACGCACGCAATAAAACGAGCACGCACCTGCTCTTGGCGGCTCCCCCCGCGACTCCTGGGAGCAACGCCACCATCGTCCCCGCCGTCCTCCTCGACGCCGTCGATGCCGCTGCCGCTGCCGCTGCCGCTGCCGCTGCCGCTGCCGCTTTCGCGGCGAATGACGTCGTTCACCTTGGCCACGCTGGCCCGAGAGATGAGAAGGAACTGGGCTTCGTTCGCGAACGCCCTGTTGCTCGCAGCGGCGTCTTCCGCTTCTCCCCCGACGCCACCCTCCGCGGCCGGCGCCGGTGACGACGACGAGCGCCACGCGCCCAACAACCCCATCGCCGTCGGAAACCACGGCATAACAGTTTTCACGGCTCGGCCGCCGTCGTTGTCCTCCTTCATGTGCAGGGGAGGAATGTCAGCCATGTTGTGACTAGACCAATCGCCGCCGCCGCCGCCGCCGCCGCCGCCCCTGCCCGCAGCGGTACCCTCGGCGGCAGCGCTGGAATCGACGGCAGCGGCACGTACGAGCGAGCACGGCACGCCCAAAAACCGCGTGAACCAGGCGGACGCCGACGCGGCGCAGGTCACTCCCGCCCGCCGGTTACCGCACACGCGAACGACCGTGTCGCCGCCTCCTTCTCCGCGCCAGCAGCGGGCATCGCCGGCACCGTCACCACCGCTGTTGCCGCCGCCGTTGCCGCCAGAGCGGCAGTCAACGACGCCAACACACCCAGGGCTGCTGCTGCTGCTGCTGCTGCTCGGCGATCGGAGGAAGCATGGTTCCGTCCCCGTCACGCCGTCGGGTGCCCCGTCTCTGCCTCCGCCTCCTCCTATCCCCCCTTGCCCTCCCGAGTACCCCAGCGGGAGAACCAGGTCAGGCATCCTCGGAGCGGTGACGGTAAGCGTGCCGGAAGCCAGGTCCACGAATGGTCTGATCTGGCACATGTCAGGCACCTGGATAAAAAAAACACGGGCCACACACACACACGCGCGCGCGTGTTGTGAGAAAGCATCGTCATGCCCGAGCGTGTGGAGAGAAATATAAGACGGGAGCCATCTGACAAAACAATTTAGCAAGGGGTTGCGCGGCGAGAGGCGTGGCCATCGCTGCTGCCTCCTCCTGTTCTCACGAAACGGTGCCGTCACCGAAACCTAACGAACTCACGCATGCACGAAGCACCGGCCGCCCAACGCGCGGGTGAGCAAGCGCACGCACGCACTTGCAGACGAGAAACCCGTGGGCGGACTGGAAAGCTAGAGTTAGCCGGTATATGTCCCCGTAAAGACTACCCCATTATTCTTCGGGAAGCCGGTTAGAATTGTCGATGAAAAAAAACAAATAAATACTCAATTCACTGACGACGTACAATTTTCAATTGGGCAGCCGGTCAGCTTGGTCGATGTAAACATAAAGGACACTTGACACACAGACACAGATATCCGTTCAAGGGTTACGCGGTGGCAACACGAAAAACGCACCTGCTTCAGGCGGAGAGCTCGATCGCGGCCGTCTACGACGGCCCACTCCCGGTCGTACGCCAGCCCCAAAGGGCCCAGAGGCCACCTGCCCCGCCCTGTCGCAACCCCTCCACCGTCGACGCCCCGCCGCCCGGAGCCGCCGCTGCCACCACCTACACCCCCGCTGCGGCTACGGCTGCTGCCGCCGCTGTCTCTGCCTGGCTCGGGTGAAGCCGGCTCCCTCGCAGAAGAAGAAGAAGAGCGCGGGCGCAACAGCGTTGGTGGGGGCGCTCCCGCTCGCTGCGGCGCGCAAGACTTGATCGGGTAGACGTAGATGGCTTCAAGGTAATGACGGGGTCGGGTTGATCGGTCCGTGGCCTCCGGCAGCGCGTCGTCCTCCGCGCGGTGCGACGGTGAGAGCTCGCCGGATGGAGGCTTTTGAGGCGAGAGGAGGGGCCCTGTCTGCGAGATTCGGAACCGAGATGTCCAGCGCCGGGTTGGGGGGGGGGGGGGTGTACTCATAGTCGTGCATGCCGTAGTCGTTTGACCATTGACCTCGCATCCCTACAAAGCCGGGACGGAGCACGCCGGGT